TACTTTTTGGCTAAATTCTTTTATGAAAAGTTAAAGTATTTGGCTAAACACGGGTTCCACTGCACAGAACACATGTTGCTCTACTCAAATTTATAGTTTTGATCTGAAAAAGCTAGTTCACTAGGGGTACAGGCCATTTCAAAGTTCAAAGAAAGTGAAAATGGAGCATTTTAAAAATTAAGTTTATATGTCCGAAGCCACTTGTTATATAAATCGACATAGTCAGTCGTATACTACACCACTTGGACTATCTGGCACTAACTTGCGTTTTGGAGCACAGCTGCGCGAAACTTGAGTTCTGATGCGAATTACGGTCAGAATTTCTACTATTTCGTTCCTGATCTAGAAAAAATGGATTTTCCCAATGACAAAGCAATATTGAAAAAAGTGATACGAACACTTAAGGGGTCTTCACCTGTTTTTTTCTCTCAATTTATAGAGAACACTTTCAGGTGTATATTCTATAAGTTGACCATGAACCGAATTTTGCTCGAAGGAAGGATTTTCAAGGATAAGCGGACAAAAGTCGTTGAGAATCAGATTTCTTGGAATATAAATGAAGGATTTAAAATCCTTTGTTTATATTCCAAGTCAATCTAACTCGATTTTTAGATTAAATTGACTGGATTAAATTCAATCTAACTGGATTTTTAAAAGTTTAAAGCTTTGCAAAATTTAATTTAAAAATCGAGTTTTACGTGTTTTGAAAAATCCTTCTTTCATATTCCAATGAATCTGATTCACACACCATCAAATCGGCCAAAAATTCACTATTCACCTGGACCTGGTCGATTTTCTCCGCTAAATGGGGATTATAAGATCGAAAAAATCGAAAAAGCATATTTGTCTTAATAGGTTTTCCAGAAACCCTTTTGAAAAACCTTAGGATATTGTAAACTTTCTTTTAAGATCTCCTATAAATAGGATAGAGAATAGCTTAAATACTCTATATTCTGAAGTCTTGAACTCGTTCTGATGTTTATTGAGTGAATAGTGAATTTTTTAATAGGTGAAAACAGCCTGAAAACCCAAATTTTCGTAAAACTCGCTTTTGGGTAGACTTTTAGAATTTTTTCTAAAAACAAATACTGCCACAAGACTCAGCATGATCGATTACCTATGGTCCATCCGTTTTCAAGGCTACCAATAGTCACCGAGCAGTTTATTAAAAGATTAAAAGTTAGTTATTAAAAGTAGTTTATTAAAAGACAAATTTTTAATGAAAATTTTAGTATATATAAAGAGTCAATGATAGAAAATTTTGTTGTTTATCATGGATTAATACTACCTGATAAAGATATTGAACAATTAAAAAATTCAGTTGGGAAATATGTTTCGACAAATGGATTCCTGTCAACCAGTTTGAGTCAATCGGTAGCCAAAATGTTTGCTACAAATGTTTTGTTTAAAACGGAAATTGATTATTCAATAAAAAATACGATTTATGCTGATATATCTCAGAAGAGTGTTAATCAACATGAAGAGGAAGTTTTATTCGATTTGGGTTCACTATTTCAAATTATAAATGCACATTTTGTGGAAAAAATTGGATTATTACAATAATCGAGGTAACGCTGAATATGCACAAAATACACTGGTTAATTTTTCTCGCCATTCAATGCTGAAAAATACTATTCGTATGCTAGATATTCATTACGAACAATTCTTATTTATGGTTGGACATTATAGTAAATGCATTGAATACACAAAAAATCTGTTACAGCAACAACTAATAAACAATAAACTTGATAAATATTATATTCTAAAAATTTTAAGTGGTGCTTACAGCAATAACCAACAAGATGATTTAGCACTAAAATATGAACTAGACGCATATAATATGCGTGCCAAGAATTTGAATGTTTAGATATTTTATTTTCGAGTAGAATAAAATTTTAACGCGAAATCATATTGTTTTGTCAAAAGGTAACATTGTCCAATATTGGCATTCATCCGTGCATTATCCATACGATCATTACCGTCAATTTCAAATAAATCTTTATGTTGTTCTTGCATTTCTAATAATTTATTATAATATTTCAAAGCTTCATTAAAACGTTTCCTAATCATATAAGATAATCCAAGCATTGTATATACCATAGTAGATGTCTCATAATCATTTATTATTCGTATTTTAAGTAACTTTTCGCAATATTCAACACATAAGTCATATTGATTCAAATCAAAATAAATGAGTGTAAACCATATGTAAATTTTTTTTAAACGTAAATGATTTTTAGGAAAATATTTTCGTATGTAATTACA